GGTAGATTACATTTCTCCAAGTGGCATTGCTGGGTCACGGAATACACACACACACACACACACACACACACACACACACACACACACACACACACGCATGCATTTGTAATTGTGATAGTGATTGCCAAATTGCCCTCCTTAGGGGTGGTACGAATTTATACGTCTCCCCACCTATGTCTGTGAGTGCCTGCCTGTTTCCTCTTGGCCATTCTTCTCTATTATTGAATTGCATTTCAGAGAAGAAGTGCAATGGATTCCGCTGCCCGAACGGCACCTGCATCCCATCCAGCAAACACTGCGATGGTCTGCAGGATTGCTCGGATGGCTCCGATGAGCAGCACTGTGGTGAGTCGTACCCCGCCCCCCTGCCGCACCCCAGGGAAGCAGCTGGGGGTTGTGAGTGAAGAGCACATACTGGACTCAATGTTTCCATTTCCTCTGGACCTGCTTGCGTTTAGCTTCTAACCTTGTTGACCCTGATTGCTTGACCAGGACTCTGAGAGTTTGATCATGGCAGGGAGCTTTGGTTTGGGTGAAGGAGGGGTGGGGGGAAGGAAGGATGTCTTGGGTCAGGGGTGCTCATCCATGAGTATATCCATTGGAACTACCTGGGAGCTTTAAAGGCTACTGGTGCCCAGGTCTCACCCCACCCCCATTCCAAGATTCTGAGTTAATTAGACTATAGAGTGTGGCTGGGGCATTGGGCGTTCTAAGGAGTGCTCCAGGTGATTCTAACGTGCAGTCCAGGCTGGGAACTAATGCAGTAGTGCACAGGTTGGCAAACATGCCTGTGGGAGAAATCCAGCCCATAACTTCTTCTATTAAGTGACATTTTATTTGAGCACAGTCACTCCCATTTGCTTGCGTAGTGTCTCTGGCTGCTTTCATTCTCCAGTGGCAGAGTTGAGTAGTTGTAAGGGAGACTGTGTGACCTGCAGAGCCTTTAGAATTGCTTTCTAGTTGTATTCAAGTCTCCAGAGAAACAGAACCAATGGGATGTGCATGTATATATGGAGACATTTATTTTAAGGAATTGACTCCTGTGATTAGGACGGCTGGCAAGTCCAAAATCTGCAGGTTGGGCTGGCAGGCTGGAGACACAGCCAAGCTAATGTTGCAGTTCAAGGCCAAATCTATCTTCTCACTATGTTGTTACATGGTCTTTTCTCTGCTTGCATCTCTGGTGTTTCTTGTATGAACACGAGTCCTCTTGGATCAGAGCTGCACCCTGCTCATTTTAACCTTCATTTATCCCTTTTTTTTTTTAATCTCATTTATCTCATTTAACCCTAATTACCTCTTTAAAGGCCCTACCTCCAAATACAGTCACATTGGGTATTACGGCTTCAACTATGAATTGGTGGGGGCGGGGGCTACAGATCAGCCCACGACACTGTCCTTCATAGAAGTGTGCCAACCCCTGTATGAGTGTTAGTATTATATTAATAGTGATTAGGATCATGGGCCTTGATGTCAGACAGCTTTGGATTTCAGTTTTGGCTCCACCTTCATCAACTGTGTGCTCTTGGCAAAATACGTAATGCTGCCATCCCTGTTTTCTCATTTTGAAAATAGGCCAATAAAATCTCTCATAGTATTGTCTTGACAGTTTAATGATGTCCTTTTATGTCAAGTGCTTTAGGTCAGGGCGTGGCAAAAACAAGTGCTCAGTAAACGGGCATGTGCACTCAGGGCTAGTGAGGGCCCCCTGGCGCCCAGTGCTCATGGCCTGTTCTCCTCACTGGACCCTTTTCAGAGCCCCTCTGCACACGCTTCATGGACTTCGTGTGTAAGAACCGCCAGCAGTGCCTGTTTCACTCCATGGTGTGCGACGGGATCATCCAGTGCCGCGATGGCTCAGATGAGGACGCAGTGTTTGCGGGATGCTGTGAGTGGGGCAGGCGGGGGAGGTAACTTGCAGTCATGGAAGAAACCGCCGGGGGTGGGCCACCCTGGGGACACACTTTCATCTAGTTTACAGGCCTTGATTGTGTGTCCCTTCTTGCCTTTTCTGAGGCATGCTTACATTTGTTGCTTCAGAAGTGGTGCTTGTTAGTTGCTAGTATACATAGAAAGGGAAGGTGGAGAAAGACCCAAGATCTTGGCTCCAGTGTCACCTTTTCCAACGGGCCATTGTTGCCTCCATCGCTCACTCTGCAGGCCCTCTGCCATGCTCCAGTTTCTTCACAGCACTTATCACCACTTAGCACACTGTGACTTAGTTTTCCTGCCCATCTTCCCCTTTCGGAACGTGCATGTCACGAGAGCAGAGCCTTCATCTTGTGCACTGCTGTAGCCCCACTCCTAAAACTGCCCTGCATGTAGTAGGTACTTGCATCAGTCTATTCAGGCCACTATAACAAAGGACCACAGACTGGGTGGCTTAAACAGCAGAAATGTTTTTCCTCACAGTTCTGGAGGCTAGACATCCAAGGTCAAGGTGTTGGCAAAGATGGTTTTTTCTGAGGCCTGTCTTCTGGCCTTGTAGATGACCGTCTTTTTCCTGTGTCTTCACTTGGTCTTCCCCATGCCTGTCTGTGTCCTAATTTCCTCTTCTTATAAGGACATCAGTCATATTGGGTTAGCGCTCCAACCTAATGACCTCATTTTAACTTATTACTTTTTTAAAGACACTATGCCAAAATGCAGTCACATTTTGAGGTACTGGGGGTTCGTCCTTCAATTAACTTTTGCTTTCCAGGAATCCTTCAGCTAGACCAGGGGTCAGCAAACTGCGGCTCGCAAACCACATGTAGCTCTTTGGGTACGTTCCGTCTCAAAAGTTTGCTGACCCCTGGAAGAGCCAATCCTGTCCCTCACAACAATTTAAAAATTACTCGAGAGCCATAAATATATTTTTACATAATCACCATTATGTGAATAATATCCTTTAAAAATTTTATAGATGAAACTATGATAGTTTTATTTTCATTTTCAGTTTTACTTCAGAGCCACATGTACGTACCCAAAGAGCCGCATGTGGCTGTGAGCCACAGTTTGCTGACCCTGAGCTAGACAGTCTCTTGGGGGAGGAATTGTACTCTTTCCTTTTCTTTCCAAGGAGCATTACTACCTTGAACTGTTCAGTATGAAAGTAATCTGGATTTCATGGATGTTTTTGTTCCTTATCTAGCCCAAGACTAGGAATGATGACTTTCCACAGGATTAAAACATATTTTCTTGCCTTACAACTGATCCTCCTGGAACTATTCTACCAAGAGTTGTGTTTGCAATGG